TTCTCTTGGGCTTCTTTGATATGGTCGAGCCAGTTAATTTCTTCTGTTTGCCTGTTTAAAGAGTCTTCTGTTATCATGTCTGTAAAAGAATCATTATATTCGATTTCATTATTAAGATTTAATTGAAGTGTTTGGCTATAAGATAGTTTTGTAGCTAGTTGGGATGTTGAAGCAATTTCTTCGGTAGTTGAAACAGGTATAGTGTTGGATTTAGGGAGTTTGTTGTTGTTTGTAATTGGAGTATTGTTGGATGCATGAGTTGAGTTACTACTTTTGGCATAGTTGGTGTAATGATCATGAGAAAACTCCTGTGGCTGATTGTTGTTGTTGTTTTGAGTAGGTTGTTGTATAGCATGTGATGTCATAGTTGGATTTGTTGGAGGTAAACTGGATAGTCCACTTTTTCTATTATTATTTTGGGAAGAAAAATTAGTACGTCTTCGTTTAGTATTGGAAGTAGGAGTTAGAGAGTTATTATCATTTTCTTCTAGTGGGTTGTTATTATTTTTGATATTTTTGTTTTTTGTGTTATGTGCTATTGTTGGTATCAAATTGAGAAGTCTTGTAGGCCCTTTTTTCTCCGTAAAGATATTGAGTTTGTTGTTGTCATTGTTGTCGTTCCCTGTTTTTCTTTTAATTTTGGTTTTTGAACTATGTGGTAATACTTTAGAAACTTTCCTCTACAAGTGTAGCTGTAGAGGTTTTAGTATGACTTTAAGAATTTTAGTTAAGTTTAGTTATGGTTGCCGTTGTTATTTTATTTCTTTCCATTTGCTTAGATTTTTGTAAAATGATATGCTTAATAATTAATTAATATTATAATAAATATTAATATCTAGTATAAAAATTAAAATCAAAACTCTTTCCCGCACATTTTAATTTTAGATAAAAAATAAGAAAAACAACAAAATATAAAGTTTTAAATAATTATATCTATTATTTAACATCTACTACTATAACTAATTTGTCTTCTTAGAAGTAACAGACTATTGTCTTATATATTTTAAGTATAGAATAGTCAAAATAACAAAAAGAAACAGAAATACTACTGATGACAAAAGTCACCAACTTTCAACAGTAACAAAAAAGGCCGTAAGGTCTCAAGCCTACTCAAACCAGGATACAAGTATGGCTAACAGAAAAGAACATAGTTCAGAAGAAACTCAAGATGAAATCTATATCTCTAAAATTATTAAAAAGCAAAAAACTTCTTCTTTATCTACTATAGATGGAACTTTTTCTACAAAAAGTGGACAATCCAGCTCACCTCTGTTAGATTCCAACATTATATCATACATTATACAAGAAACAACAACAACAACACATCATATGCAGGAATCTAACATAAACAAACAGATGTGTAACAATATCGAAATAGAAATGGTCATCTCTAATCAGGATATAAATATATCAAGTGATATTCTACTCGCACAAGATAATCAGTCAACTGAATATAACATGCCAGATCAAACACAAAGCAACTATACTTCATATTGCAATGTAGTTAGGGGGCTTTCTAACAAAAGCATAGATATAATTAATCTTCTCAATCCTAGTAAACCAAGAGATTGGCAAATGAAAATAGATGAAGTAATTGAAGCAAAAATAAAAGAAGGTTTAATCATAATATATAGAATTACGATCATATTCTTGAAGCACTAACATCAACTGAAGGCATCACAAGATTTGTTACTTATAAGCTAAACTTAATCCCAACTGATATCGATGTACCTATTGCAATCAATACAAAATTCAGATATCGAGACACTAAATTCTTTATTATCTTTACAAGGAACAAAAAATTTATGAGTCCACACCAAATAGAATATAAAAAATTATTTACGCAAGCTCTCAACAAATATAAGCAAATACATAATCTATTTACTACCAATAGAGAAACAAGAGATGCAATTCATCTTAAACTTTGGCAAAAATTAATTATTGATTTCATTACCAACACTAAATTTGTAACAAATGAGGCAAAACAGATTACTAGTTTAATCAAATATTGTAAAGGGTTTACTAAAGATACTTCACTTACAGACCAAACAAAAATTTATGAAGTAGTTGATGCAGCCATACAAGCACAACTAATTCCTTTATCTAAATCTCCAGACTTAATCAGTTCTGATGTTAAAGAAGAATTACCCTTCGATATTCCTATTAAGAAGAAGTCACAAACTCGATTTGTAGTAGCTGCTTTATACCGAATATATACTTTCAACAAATTGCCAGAAAACTACTTTACTCAACTACAAAAACTTTCAGATAATCCTAATGACCTCGTAGAGAAAATCAAACATCTTTTTCCAATTACTAAATTTAACGAACTCAACAATCTGAGATATTATAATCAGATTTTACATGATTACTATGAATTTAACAAAATTCTAGAGAATTATTTTGACTTACCAAAACCTAAGCTGAATCTTCTTTTATCTTATCATGAACTTGATTAGCAAATCTGCGGCCTCTTTCTAATTGATCTGGCCAATTCACATTTGAGCTTAAGGGAAATTGTATCTAAGCTTAAAGAGTTATATAAGTTCCAATGGATCCCTAATGATTTCTTTAAAATCAAACTAAGATTACCAAATGATCTAACCAAAATCAAAACAAAAACCATATTTGAATATTCTATTGCTGATGACAAACAGGCAAAACAGTTTATTAACGAAACTAAGGAACGATATAATATTACATATTTAATTAACCAAAAGATTATGACAGCAAATCCAACGAACAAACCATGGCTTCCTTTAACAACTGAAGAAATATCACAATATAATATTATTCTACTAATTACTACGCCTAGGCAATTAATAGATACTGTATATCTATTAAGAGAATCTTATTACTTCATAAGAATACCAGACCAATGTATTGAAATTTCTAAAAACAACACAACATCTAATTAACAAATCAAAACAAATAAAGAAGATAAAGATACTATCTTACCTAACTTACCTGAATCCTCATCTTCAATTTTAACAGAACTACAAGCGATTGTTGATAATGATATTATTCCTGAACTACTAATAACACAACATAAAAAATTTGTAGAAACTATCAACTTTTTACATCAACACTACAGTTTTAAATCATTACCTGATTTCTTGCTTCAACTTTCACCTCTCCCAAAGCCATCTTGAGAAATTTTTTAATCTATTAATATCTGATCAAAACAATAATAACAATACTCAGACTAGATCAGATTATACAAATAATCAAATAATTACCTCATTTCTATATATATTTTATCTTCTAAAGAATAACAACAAATCGATCATCATTACTACTCATAATATTCAAGGCATGAATAATACTACTAAATTTCAACAATGGATACAATTTTGCTACAAAAGCCAACTTGACCTTATTAGTATTACAGAGACCAAATTAGCTAGTTCTACTTACAATAACTTTAAATTTCTAAATCCACACTACAAAATATTTTTTTGCTAACACAACTTCAACTAGTAAAAAGAAACAAGAAGCAAACATGGGAACAGCAATTGCTATAAAAAATTTACTATGCCTTTATATACATAATATTCAAACCTATGAAGGGTATAGAATTGCAATTGATCTATTTTTTCCTGGTAACTAATGATACAGAATAATATCTGTATACAACCCTTGTAATAATAATAATGCAAGAGTATCTCTTAATCAGAAAATACAACAATGGATTCTGAATGCAAGTAATTCAAAAATTGAATCTATAGTTCTAGGTGATTTCAATTGTACCCTAGATCATAAGCAATTTAAAATACTCAATACGATTCAAGCTTGTGGCTTAATTAGCACTCTTAAACAATTTAATATAACTGCACCTACATAGAACAGAGCACTCAGTTCGTTACAAATTGATGACATATAAATTCTATCTTATTTACTAAATTGTTTCCTCTGTCCTATTACTACTGATACTAACTATATAACTAATAGCGACTATAAGATAATATCTATTGAATGGTTAATACATCTATTCAACAAAATCTCTCGAAGAAGAAGTCTAAGTAAAAGATGGATCTATAAATTTGATGAAATGAACACAGACCAATAGTCAGAATTCTTAAAAGAAGTTGACAAAAAATTTAACTGTGACCTAGAAAAAATTCAAAACTTACAAGAACTCAACAAACAATGGCATAAGCTCAACGATACAATAACACAAGTAGCTCAAAAATATATACCAAGAACTAAGACAGCTTCTAAGAACTTTATTAGTTATACATACAAAGCTACACAGCTACACAAAGGACTCAAAAATATAAACAAACTCCTACGTTATTTACAACTTAATATAGATCATATTGCCAATTTAAACTTATACAATGCAATTATTAGACAAATCAATTCATTAACACAGCTTGAAATTAATGAAATTACAGAAGACAATCTTCAATTAGACTAAATTCAAGAATTAATCAGAGTGTTAAAAACTTATCAGAAAACAATAACGACAGCTAGACAAACTAAAAATATACAAATCACAAGAGCAAGTATAAATAAACATATTCAACAAAGATACGATAACTTTAATAGTGATACAACAAAGATGATTAATAGTATACTCAGTAGACGCTCTGAACCAGTTGATCTAAGTCGTATTATTCTGACTGACTCAGTTATTACTGATAAGGATGAAATCAAACTAGAAGTCAAAAATCATTTCAATAATTGAACAAAATTAAACACTATAAGTTCACCATTATAGCAACAATGGAAAACTGAATATGAACCTAAGGGAAATATTAATTCATCTTAGTATAAGAGTATTCTCGAACCAATCAAGCTTGAAGAGTTAAGACAAACAATATCTCAAGTGCCAAAGCAAAAAGCCATAGGACCTACATTAATCTCTAATGAAATGTTATCATATCTATCAGACAAAGGCCATAAAGTATTTCTAGAAATTATCAATACTTGTCTCTTGTTGGAGGATATATCTACACAATGGAAGCAGAGTTTAATCTACTCAATTCCTAAAAAAGCTACATACTCAGGACAGCTTTACCATATATGTCCTATAACACTTATAGAACATTCTAGAAAAATCCTCACAAAAATTATTACTAACAGGCTTAGTAACTGTATTTCTAAATTTCCAATACTAGACCCATATAATTATGTAGCTGTTCAAGGTGCTTCAACTATAATTCCTATTACTTCATTTACACATATCATTGAGAATACACAAGTTAATAACAGAGAGCTATAGGCCTTATCTCAGGACATAAGTAAGGCCTACGATACTGTTCATATATCCTTACTCAAACTAGCATTACTCGAATTAGGATTCTTTCAAAAACTATTAATCTAATTATTAATATCTTCACAGATCGAACAAACAAAGTAATTATTAATAGTTCATATTCAGAATCATATCCAGTACAAGATAGTATAGGTCAAGGCGAGACGATTGCATCTCTCTTATGGAAAATCTATTATGATTCTCTACTTACCCAAATTACATCCAAACACTATAGATACAAGCTATCTGAACGAATATATACTTTGTCAAATCAAAATTCACACTTTAAACTACCAAATATTGCTATATTGGCATATATAGATAATACACTCTGGCTTGCAGATTCTAAAGAAGAACTTATTAACATACTACAAACAGCTCAATCCTTTTATAACTTCGCAAATATATTAGTCAACCTGAACAAATCTGTATTAGCTACTACAAGCTCAGACTCTACAAACTATATAGATTTTAACAATACCATCATTTCTGCAATTGACAAAAAAGAAGCATTTAGATTTTTAGGATATTAGTTCACTATATACAAAAGACACAAATCGATTCACCAAATTATTCTAAAAGAAATAACAGATGCACTTATTCATATTAAGAAAGCTAATATTACTGAAAAACAAGTGATTTATGTTATAAACTCAGTAATTCTCACTAGATTTAGCTACAGAATACAAAATACCTTTATTAAAAGTACAATATGTCAGTCTACAACCAACAGATATACTGCTATTTTTAAACAAAAAGCTGGACTAGCTAAATTAGTACCAAACTCAATTATTTGGTGCTATCTAATTTACAGTCTAAAAACAATAAACGATATTCAAACACAACAGTTATTTGCTAACTGGTACTTTTTACTTAATCATTCCAGTTTTAATTTTCTTCCTATATCTAGTAGGATTACTCAACTCCAATATGCAGCTTCTACTAATTAGTCAATACTGTCTTCCAATCCAATTGTTTTTTCGAATTCTGAAGTCAATACTGCTTCCACGCAATCAATTATACTCTTTAACAGCCTTCAAATCAGCATAACAGTACCTTCATATTTGAACCAAAATATAATACCAATCAAAGGCCACAGTATTAATTATATTCTCCAAAAGTTGCCTCATGCAGCTACATTCAAAACCAAATTCAACAACACAAAAATTTGGTTCATCGAACAACTGTTTAATAGTAACTTTTTAATACTACTTACTTGGCAATATCTACCACAAAGTACTCAAAAAATACCGAGAGGAAAGAAGCCTAAATGGTTTTCAACTATTATTCAAGCTATACAAGAGTATACTACCAACAACAACCTTAACTTCTAACAGCCTAATTACTTCATTACATAACAACTAATTACTAAAGGATCATAGATTATAAGTATTGAAAAATCAGAGCCAATAATTGGCAGGGTTTCAACTATTATTAGTCAATATAAGATAAAAATTAGACATTATAATTTTCAATATTTGAACAACTTTGTAGTGAGATGCAACGGATGTAAAGATTCTATGGGCTACAACTTCTGTACAAAAATCTTATCATCCTCAAAATGTTATAGAATACAGATTAGTAGCTACAACAAAATATATACTGATTTGGATAATATCATTAATTGCACTCAAATATACAAAGTAAAAGCTCTAGTTATATATAATTATCTAAGCTATAGTGAACCAAAATCAGCAAAATATAATAATACTCAAATAACAAAACAATTTGCTTGCAACATATACTCTGAAACAACGCTCTTAAATATAAATGCAAAAACTAAATACTTCAGTCAATTATAAATTGAAATCAATTACTCAACAAACAAGATATAGCAAGTAAAAACTTCACATACCACTTGGTCGATAAAAAATACTCAAGAGAATTACTACTTAAAAACTAGGTCTTGGCTATCAAAAAACCATGGCCTTCTTATAGCAATTTTCTCATCACTTCTAGTTGCTAAAAACAACTGCACTATCGAAATATATACTAATAACAATTCTTTAATTAATAACTATCTTCAGATTCAATCACTTGCCTTTAACAAAGCTACACTAATCAACAATAAATATGGAGATTTATGGATCCTTATCCTTACGATTAAAGCACAGAAAGATATCAATTTAATCTTAACATATAAAGAGATAACAAAACATAGCAAAGAGTTAACAACAATTCTAGTTGATTCTTCTAATATTACTCTAAGACATGATACAACACACATTTTGTAGAACAATTCAGCAATCATTCACAAACCTAGATGCTTTGTCAGACATTTATGTAATGCAGCACATATAGCAGAACTAAGTTCTCAACGAAGATTTGATGAGATCAACAATTTTCACTTAGAACTTAACTGGTCTACAATAATAGCAATAATAAACTTTAATTATACACCAAACACTCGATCTACTTATCCAACTCAATCTAAAATCAAGGCTTTCAAACTTAAATTTTTAACTAATGAGCTACTGACTATAGAGAATCTGCATAAAAGATACCTAACTAAATATGATGATGATATATGCAAACGATACTATATCTCAAAAGAAAATAACTCATACTAGTGGGAATATCTTGTAAACAAAACTAGTATTCATCAAGTTATAGAGGAATAGGTTACAAAAACTCTTAACAAATATGAATGCAAGGATATAAATATTCAAAACGAGACAAAGAATATATTGCTTACTAATATTGATCTAAGCTCAACATATCAAATATATCTTTGTCAAGGATACATAACTAAATACATTACTGATCTTAAAGATACAAACACAGAAAAGAATTCAAAACATAAAGTATCTGAAATCTTAATTTACAAAATTATCAAAAATATATACAATAAGATTTGGCTACCTAGATGTGCAGAAATAAACAACTGAAACAACGAAGAACAGCT